CTGCCACCCAACCCCCTTTTTCAATACGACACACCCCAACTGCCTCCCAGCCGTTTCCCAAACACTCAAACCCTCGTTATATGCACCTATCAGACCCATTTAACATTCCCCTCCTGCTCTCCTCCTCCATCCCGTTAGCCCCTTGTCTGCTTGTCACGCCTGGGTGACAGCAGGGTCCCTCCTCCTGACTGATCACTGATAAAGTACTGAAACAATATCTGACAGAATAGCTAAAAGATAAAAAATACAGAATCAGGAGCCTAAAGTAAAAGTAAAAGTCTGAAAAAGTCTGAGATTTACATTCACATAATAATACTATTATTATAAAGCCTTAATTGTAATATAATATTATGTGAGGCAGTTATTAAAGGACAACTAATACAGAATAGTGTATATGAATAAAATACACAAAACACTCCTCGTCATATCTGCTTTACTAGCAGAGTTTTTTATACTGTCCAGTTATGAAAAGCTTTTATTAGCCATGTTCAAAAGTCTGACATTCACTTTCTGAAACCTTCAGATAAAAGTTGGAGAAGATCCAAATTACTATTCCAATATAAATTATTAACAAAGCACTGATGAATGAATGAACTGAAGGGAGTACTATTGTACAGAAGGAGGCGTTCTATAGGAAACCACATGGAATGGTGTATAAATGGCACTGCAGGGGTCCCAGTGCTCATTGACAGTAACTATAATCCCTATAGCGTGCACACTGCAGAGTTATATGCTGTATGCTGCTCATGCTTTTGCCACCATCTGTATTCATGATATGCACTGGCGTATTTGCATCTCCTCAGAACAAAGGTGAAGCCACTGCTAAGAATAACATCACAGCAGGAGAAAGGCAGTTTAGTAACTCGTGATAACACAGAGGCAGTGTTCAAACAATCATTAACACACAAGACTGAGACTCAATAGGATCAAAAGCAAACAACAATAACACTCACAATAATGTGTCATTGTTCACAGGCACATGCGATGCACATATGGTGAGAGAAAGACAGGGATTAATGCCAGATAACCAGCCAGACGTGGTGTTGGAGATTGCCATATCACTGGTGGCTTCTAAAGGGTTTTAAAAGAACAGTTGTGAGAAGTGGAACAATGAAGAAAGAAAGACAAAGAGAGCAAACAAATAATCCAGATGACTTTCAGTGTGCCAGGTTTATAAATACCACAGCAGACCTGTTGTGCATCTATCTTTTATTCCTCTACTCAGGCTTGGGTCAATCCTGTCTGTCATTTCTATTTTAAACCTTTTCTCGCCCTTTTTAGTATAACTTTGTTCTCTTTTCCTTTTTTT